CTCAAATCCCGAACCAACCATCCTATAAGATCAAAACTGAACTTATATGGCTATCTGCGGTGACAAAATTTCAATTCGAGCACTATTACCAAAAATATGACCAAAGTAAAATTTTGGCCAAAACTTAAAAGTTAAAATATCTTACGACACAAACTAAAGTTGGAAGCCTCAAAATCCGAACCCTCTATCTTATTACATCAAAAATAACTTTTCGCATCTAAGCGTTCTTATCTGGGTACGTTATCAAACATATTGACTAAAGTTAAATTTTTGCCAAAATTTATATGTTAAAACACCTAACGGCACACAGGAAAAATGAAAGCTTCAAAACTCACACCAACCATCCTACTAGATAAAAAATTACCTTTGGAGTTTATTACGCTAACGAAATTCTCATTTGAGTACGTTCAAAAAAAATTGACCAAATTCAAATTTTTACCTAAACATAAAATTTAAAACATCTAACGGCATAAACAAAAATGAAAGCCTCAAAACATGAACCAACCTTCCCGTTAGATAAAAAACTACTTTTCAAAACTAATACAGTGACGGAGTTCTAATCTGAGCACATTTACCAAAAATATTGATCAAAGTCAAGTTTTGGTTAAAAGTTAAAACGCCTTACGACACAAACTAAATATGAAAGCCTCAACACTAGACGATGATTTACCAAAAAACTTAACTTCAATTGGTAATTTACCAATTATTAAAATATAAGTTAGTAATTAATATTTTACCAATAAATTTTATCAGAGTTGATAATAGTTATTTTTCAACTAAATATTCATATGTAATATTACCAACTAATAATTAATATATTGATAAATTTTATCAATGGATTAGTGATCGGTTGGTATATTACTAACTATTTTAATGACGTTAGTAATTTACTAACTGCAATCTTTATTTGTCGGCAAAATTTCCAACTAATTTGATATTGGTTGACAAGTTTACCAACAAATTACATTTCTTTACTAATTTACCAACACATTTATATTTGGTTGGTAATTTAGCAACACAATCTTGTCGTTGGTAAATGTTTGGTTAGTAATTCATTGGTAATATGTTAATAAATTATATAAACAATTTTTTGTCATATTTACCAATCGATATATACTTCGTTGGTAATATTACCAACAAAAGGTGTGCGTTAGTAATATTTCTGTTGGTAATCATTGATAAAAGGTTGCTAAATTTGGCGCCATTTTTTCCCGCCGTATTTACCAACTAAAATACTTAGTTAGTAAGATTTAAGTTGGTAATCTGTTAGAATTTCGTTGTTAAGTTTTAAAATATTACTCGGTTAGAAATATGTTGGTAATTTGTTAGTAGAATACTAACCAACTTAAGTTGTTAGTAAAATCTGTTGGCAATTTGAGGTTTTTTTGTAGTGTTATTTGAGAATTATTTTTTTATATATTTGTCACGTGCCTTCATTTAATTCATCATTTTGACATGTCATCAGCAAGAGTACTACAATCACTTAAATATTTGATAAGTGTCAAAATGACACAATGGACCATGAAATAGGTGTCTAAAATGAAACAAACTCCAATTAAAGTGTCTACGTGAAAGTTGGTGTCAACTTTAAGGGTCTACCGATGGGTTCCACCAAAGAATAATAACACAAAAAAATAAAGAAATAAATTCCACAACAATGCCAAATGATACAGAATTACATAAAAAAAATGGATTGCATGCCAAATTTATTTTTGGACAATCATACCTTCTTAACTACAAATGAAAAAGAAAAAATTTAAAATCATAAGATAACATAAAAAAGTTCGAAGGAATATCATGTCATATCTTATACGTCTAAGCTATTGTAAGAAAACTTCTCTTTTTAATTTTATAATGAAACTATATGTTCGTTTCCTCGGTTAGCTACTAGACGGCATGTATCTATGAAACGATTATTTTTGGACGTTTTGAGCACTAGAACTTTTTATGTCACAAAATACTTTTCGATAGATTTAAATGGGTATATTGGAGTATTCCTAATTATAATTATAAAATTAGTGGGGTAATTTTAATAATTAATATACTTTGTGGTTAAAGAAGATAACATAAAAATTAATAGTAGCTTATTTTTACCATTTTTATGATTAGTCATATAATAAGTAGGGTTAATATTTTTCTTGGTGATACCACAAACTATTCAAGACTCTTGTTTTCTTTTGTTGTCGGCGCCGTGGATAAAGAACGATAGGAAAAAGGTAAAAACTTCATCCAATTCTCAAATTTATTTTATAAACAATGAATAATAGTTTGATGGGTATTAATTCTTGTTAATATTATTTAATTGTATTGGAAAGTGAGGAAGGTTAATGCATTATAATATATATATATATATATATATATATATTTATATTATATTGTTTAATAGAGAATGAATTAAGGGACAAATCTGCGAATGGATTGCTACTAACGATGAGGAAAAAGAGAATTAATGCATGTGTGGCTTCAATTGTTAATGTTATATTATGAACTAAGGGACAATCTGCAAATGGATTACTACTTACGATTAGGAAAAAGAGAATTAATGCATGTGTCCACTGGTCTCGTGATCAGTGGCTTCACTTGTTAATGTTAGTGGGAAATTAGGATACAGTAATGGTAAGGCCCTGCATGTTTCATGTATGTAGGTTAAGTGTGGTTCCCATGTAAGTTGGGTAAATTTTCGATTCTTTTCTTAAAGTTATCCTATTATGTAATTAGATATTACGTGTGTTGTATTAGTGGAATACTATTAAGTTATGCTAATTGGAGGAACTAAGATTTACCTTTAGGTTTGAACTTTAGTAAATTGGTTATAGAATTAGATGAGTTTTTGGGTCTAGGCTAGACATAAAATAAAATTGAGTGTTTATAGACTCATCAACTTACAAGTTAACATATACTTGATAGATTGGAGAAGTTCGGAGGCAATAAGGATAGGAAAGGCATTGAATGACTAGTTTCTTGACTTCAATTCTTCGGTGGAGGTAGGTTATGGTTTATTTATATTTGATATATAAACTCTCAATAGCGATTGATATGTACTAAGTGATATTGTAAAGTCTCCTGTGTACTTGATTGTGTGGTTATATGTTTTGATTGTGTGGTTTGTGGTTGGCCTAAAATTATGAGATTGTTGAATTTCTAATCTTGAACCCTCTCTATTAAAATGACGCCTTGAATAAAGAAGGTTTGATGAAATAAAATAAGGAGATAATTGGATCGGAGTGTCGCGTTCTGACACGGTATTATTGGATCGGAGTGTCACGTTCTGACACGGTATTATGGGATCGGAGTGTCACGTTTCGACACGGTATTATGGGATCGGAGTGTCACGTTCCGACCCAATAACATTAAAGGCAAGGAATCTTGAAGTAACTTAATATACTTAATCTCAAAGAACCTATTTTCCAAATGAGTATGGTGTGGAGGCATGAGTCCTCATAGGTGTGCTTGATGTTGTGGCTGATGGTGTACCTATTATGGTGTTGTTGTTGTCAATGGTTCATGTGTTTGTTGCTTGCCACCTGTTAAGTATTGTAGTTGATTTTATATTATTATTCATATATATTGATTTCTATTTTGAGTTGACCGATGATATCTACTTAGTACGTGTTCCTTGTACTGACCCCTACTCGTATTTTCTTCTCTGTTCTTTTAAGGAATGCAGCAAGTGTACCATCGACTTCGACTCGCCCTCAGCTCTAGCCAGTCTCCAGCATATCAGAGTTCAGGGTGAGCTATTAATTCTAGCTCGTGCTGGATTCTCTCATTCACGTCTTGATGTCTTTGAATTTCGGACATGGGCCATCTTTTTGCTTATTTTGGCTTCTTAAACACTTTTAGACTTTGTAATTTGGAAATAGATGTCCTTGATGTGATGACTATCAGATTTTGGGATAATAAGTATTAAACTTTAGAAACTTATTTGAATTGGTTACTTTATAACTTTGGAGCTTCCGCATTATTTTTGCTATTTATAGTTGAATTATTGGTATATGTTGGGGTTCAGACTTGTTGGGTCGCCAACCTGGGGGGTAAGTGTGGGTGCCACTCACGACTCATTTTGGGTCGTGACAATCTATATCATTATCTAGGAAGAAGAAAAGAGAACGATGGATGATGAAAAAGAAAAGAAAAGAATATGATAATCTAGAAAATAATTTACTGGTATTTATAGTGATATTTAGTTATCTTTACACCTATTAATTAATGGAGCACATGAATCATGATACATAAAATTTGTTTTGGTTTCAAAATTCAAAAAGTTACCAAATTAATATAGTCATTCATTAGTAAAGTATAGTTGTTGGACATCATATTCCACCATTATGTAATTAAAATAGGAAAGTGTTAAATGACAAAAAAAATTGGCAAGAATTTGGCGAGAAAATTAAAAAAACTATAATATTTTTTTTAATATAATAAATTGATCTTTTTTCAATTTGTTAGTTAAAAGGTATTAAAGTTATAAGGCTAAAAACATAGAAAAAATATTAGTATTTGATAAATTAATTTTAAAAAAATATTTAGTGGAGGGGCAAAATGGTAATTCAACTTTAAATGTTGGAGTTTCCCGCTTATTATAATAATAGTAATAACAATAATAATAATAATAATAATAATAATAATAATAATAATAATAATAATAATAATAATAATATATAGATAGATAGATAGATAGATAGATAGATAGATAGATAGATAGATAGATTTGTAAACAATTTAAGAGTTTAAAATATTTATTTTATACATGTTTAGGGGTTTGGCGGAAACCTCATAAAGTATAAGGTCGTAAAGTATAAGAGTCTAGTTTAACATTCGAGTCAAATATAGAATCTCTTATGTTACTCCGCTTTTATATAAAGCACAATTTCGATAAATGTATCAAAGTTCAGGGGAAAAAAGATTTTTACAAACTTTGTACCAACTTAGAAACCCTACTCCCTTTGCCCCACCTATAAATAATAATTTAGCAGTTCCTCTCATTCAGTAATTCTCAATGCAACTCCACATATGGCGGCGAGAAATTGAAAGGCATTCACCACAATGAAGAGGTCATTTTTATGATGGCGATAGTGTCATTCAATTTCAACATGAATCCTCTTCTTAGATTCTTCACAATCAAATCGTCGATTTATTGTAAGTTCACTTTATTCTTTTTTTTCGAAATACCTCTCATCAGCTAGCACTAGTTTGATGTCAACCTTCAGAAGTATTTATCAAATTGGTTAAATCTAAAAGAATAACATACTCTTTATTTAATACGATCCCACTATACATGTCGATATACATATATATTCACCAATTACATATGAGTCATCCAGAGAACCTAATCTATTTTAAAATTGCTAAAATTGATATATTCATATATCATGTTTCTGCGGGAATAAGAGATTGTTCCTTTATGTTCAGTGGAAATCACATGTTATACTATATTCCTATAAATAGATATTTGTGTTATGATATAAGTAAAATTTTATTTTTCTTATTTGATAATGTATTGAATTCATCTATTTCGTAGTGATTGAATGAACTATCACGGGCAAAAACATTATCTTTTTTAAAAGAGTATTTTAATTTTAATTGGTCTATTTGATCTTATAGAAAAATTGAAATTATGTCTTTATTATTTATTTTTGTCTTAGATTTATTTTTAATTATCTTTTTAGAATAGCTGTGTGTATATATGAAAGTAAGTCTAAAAATTGGTGGGTGGATTATTCAACTTTATGTTTTTTATACAAATTTATTTTTCCTTTTTTATACATCATGAATTTGCTTATCGCATCCTTTCATGTTGATCGAAATAGTACATTTACCTTTCACATCAACTAAGGCTCCATTTCCCATCATCACTTTAGTAGTGATCACATGACTGGAGATGAAAATGCTTTCCTCTCAATTAATAATAGCATCACTAATAAAGTGAAGGTGGGGAATGGAGCCTTAGTTGATGCGAAAGGTAAAGGTACTATTTCGATCAACATGAAAGGATGCGGTAAGCAAATTCATAATGTTCTTATGTTCCTAACTTGGAAGAAAATTTGCTTAGTGTTAGTCAACTCATGGAAAATGGTTGTTCTCTTGTGTTTAGAGATAGTTATTGCAAGATTTATGATAAAATTGAGCCAAATCAAGTCATTGTTGAAGTAAAGATGATAAAAAGAAAGTTCCCTTTGCAATTTCATTACAATGCATTAAAAAATGAAATTGTAGATGATTCATGGCTTTGACACAAAAGATTCTGTCACTTGAATTTTCATGGTTTAAAGCTTCTCAAGCAAAAGGACATGGTGCAAGGCCTTCCTGAGTTACATACTGAGATGGATACATGTGAAAGTTGTATAATGGAAAAGCAACACATGAAGTCTTTTCCAAAAGGTGTGTCTTGGAGAGCAAGTTTATTTTTGGAACTAATTCATACCGACATTTGTGGACCAATGAAGACTCCATCTCTTGGAAGTCAAAGGTATTTTCTAATCTTTATTGATGATTTCTCAAGAATGACTTGAATTTATTTCTTGAAAGAAAATTCAGAAGCATTTGCTACATTCAAGAAATTTAAAGCCCTTATTGAGAAGCAAAAAGGTTGCAGCATCAAAATCATTCGCAGTGATCGAGGAGGTGAGTACACAAGTCGAGAATTTTAAGAATATTGCAAAAATAAAGGCATTCAGAAGCAACTTAAAGCAGGGTATACTCCTCAACAAAATGGTGTATCTGAAAGAAGAAATAGAACAATTGTTGAAATGGCCAGAACTATGATGAATGAGAAAGGGCTACCAAAATATTTTTGGGCAGAAGCAATGCATAAAGCAGTTCACATCCTTAACAGGTGTCCAACAAAGGCACTAAAGGACAAGACACCAGTTGAAGCTTGGAGTGGAATTAAACCTTCTGTAAGTCATTTTAAAATTTTTGGGTGTATTTGTTATGCTCATGTACCTGCTGAGAAAAGAACAAAATTGGATGAAAAAAAGTCAAAAATGTGTTTTTCTTGGTTATAGTGATGTGACAAAAGCATATAGGCTTCTCGATGTCAAAACTAACAAACTTGTTGTTAGTAGAGATGTTATTTTTGATGAAAAAACAACATGGAATTGGGAGGATAAAAAGATAGAGAATATTGCTATCATATCTTCAAATCAAGAAGAGGATGAGAAAGATGAAGATGTCTCTCAAGGGGGAGAAATCCCAGATTCAGATAATGAAGAACCGCCTCCAAGAGGAACAAAAATGTTGAGTGACATTTATCAAAGATGTAATTTTGCCGGTGTTGAGCCGGAAAATTATGAAGAAGCAATAAAGCATGATGTTTGGAAGAAAGCCATGGAAGAAGAAATTCGAATGATCGAAAAAAAATACTTGGGAGCTTGTGGCTATTCCTAGAGAAAGAGAAGTTGTAAGTCTAAAATGGATTTACAAAATCAAACTCAATCAGGAAGGAGATATTCAAAATCACAAAGCAAGGTTGGTTGCTAGAGGCTTCAAGCAAAAACCAGGTATTGATTTTTATGAAACTTTCTCTCCAGTTGCTCGTCTTAAGACAATTAGAACTGTAATTGTTGTTGTTGCACAAAAGAAATGGAAGATATTTCAACTTGATGTTAAATCAGCATTTTTGAATGAAAAACTTGATGAAGAGATTTATGTTGAGCAACCTCAATGATTTTTTGTTCAAGGGGGAGAAGAAAAGGTGTATAGACTAAAAAAAGCTCTTTACGGGCTGAAGCAAGCTCCAAGAGCCTGGTACAATGAAATTGATACATACTTTCCGAAAAATAATTTTCAGAGAAGTAAAAGTGAAGCCACTTTGTATGTAAAGAAAGAACATGACAGCATTATCATTGTTTGTCTCTATGTGGATGATTTGCTCTTTACAGAAAATGATGTAAAGATGATGCAAAATTTCAAACAAGATATGATGCAAGCTTATGAAATAAGTGATCTTGGATTGCTAAATTATTTCTTGGGCATCGAATTTTCTCAAGTGAAAGAAGGAATTTTCATTTCTCAAAAGAATACTAAAAGTATTCTTCAAAAATTCAAAATGATGGATTGCATGTCTGTGGCCATACCATTAGCAGCAAATGAGAAGTTTAGAAAAGATGATGGAGAAAAGAAAGTTAATAGCTCACTTTTTAGGAGTTTGATTGAATGTTTGCTATATCTTACTTCAAAAAAGCCAGATATTATGTTTGCTGCTAGTTTATTATCCAGATTCATGCAAGAACAAAGACAAATGCATTTTGGAGCTGCAAAGCGTGTTCTACACTACTTGCAAGGAACAATGGATTATGGGATAATGTACAAATTTGGTGGAAATTTGAACTTAATAGGTTATTTTGATAGTGATTGGGCTGCAAGTATAGATGACATGAAGAGTACGTCTGGTTATGCTTTTTTATTTGGATCAAGCACTTGTTCTTGGTTATCATAAAAGCAAAGTGTTGTTGCTCAATCCACTGCCGAAGCAGAATATGTTTCCTCAAGCTATTTGGCTTAGGAGAATATTTGAAGACATTGGTGAAAAACAAAAAAAAAGGACTGTTTTGTATTGTGATAACAAATCAGCAATTGCAATTGCCAAGAATCCAGTCAGCCATGAAAGATCAAAGCATATTTCCATTAAGTATCATTTTACCCGAGAAGCACAAGAGAAAGGCGAAATTCAGTTTCATTATTGTCAGACAGGAGAAAAATTCACAAAAGCACTTCCTAGAGAAAAATTTTGCTATATTCGAGAACGCATTGGAGTTATCAAGCAAATGCATTAAGGGGGAGTGTTGGAATAAATGCATTAAGGGGGAGTGTTGGAATTAATGCATCAATGTTTAGTCTTTCAAAATTGTCTCTTAGTTTTTCAAGAAGTCTTTTTAGAATTTCGTAATACATGTATCTAGTACATTGTGATACATGTATTTAGTTATTTGTGCAAGACTTTTTGTTTTCTATTTTTGAGTAGTATAAATAGTGATGTAGTTGATGATTGTAATCATCTCAAGTGGCCTTAAATAGCCTATAATAAACTTGAGCATTCTATAAAGATACTATTTTCCTTCCATATTTCCTACATGGTTTAGACCCAAATAATATGGAAAAGACAACAAGTCACCTTTCTCAAAAAAAATATGGAAAAGACAAGTGTTGAACATTGTTATGTCAATATGGTGCAGTTAGTGAATGACAATACAAGAGTAATGACAATCAGCAACCATAAATATACAGTACTAGTGTCAAAAATTAAAAAAAAACAAGTAAACTGTACGCATACGTTTTCTGTGTTCCACATTTCCACCAAACACTTCATAAATCTAAATGTATCATAAATTTAAGTGCTTATGTGAGGCAAACACTTCGACATTCACCACTATCTGAAACTCTTGCCTTATGATAGTACAATATGATACACTTCCTTGATTCAACCACTTAACAAGCCACCTCTACTAACCTGTACTCTTTATCCAGGTTAAGACTAGGAAACTCACACAGGTTAAGTATTCGTCGCGAACTCCACCAGCAAAAACGATTCAAGAAATTGTCCATCAGCAAACATACTGTTGTATCTTGAAGGATTTGGCCAATGAACTTGTTAACTTCTGTTCAAGTAACTATCTTCATAAAAAAAAACTTTATTCAAGTAACTATGAAGGCTCAGTGTTTTGGACGCAAGAGACGACAAAAGGCGACAAGGGTCTGCCTCGCCTCGCCTTTTCGAATAGAGGCGCCAATTAATATCAAAAATTATAAACATGTAATTGCGTATATAAATATCCAAAATCTCAATAGCAATAATATATTAGCAAATATTTCAATTCAAAAACTAATAGTAGTTATTAAAAGTCTAGAAGTTTAAAGATCCAATAATTCAAAAGAGAACACTAAAAGTCTATTCTTCTTCAAAACTATCCAACTCTTGAAGATCAACATCCTCTACATTATTATATTTTTTAAAAAAATTATAGACAACAAACAGTGAAGGCAGCAAGCTACTCTGATGAGAAGAAACGAAAAAAGAAGAGAACTCAAGAACAAGAAGAAGAACTCAAAAAAAAAAAAGAGGAGCAATCGCGACGCGATGAGCAGTTACCTTCGAGGGATTGATTTCAGAAGTTTCTTCGACATCTTGCCATGGCCGATCATTAAAGGTATATTTTTTAAAAGAAAAATAATAACTAAAAAGTCATTTTTTCTTTCCCAAAGCTTAGTTCATCAAAACGGAAGGGAATGCTTAACATGCCGATCTCAAATTTCAATCACTAGCTCAGCCTCTAAAAAATCCTTTCTTGTTAAATGTTGTTCTTTAATTGTTAGTTTTGCAGCATTTTAATATTATAAATGTATAGTTAAGGTGCACATAATTTCCAGAAGGTTGGTCCATCTTGTTTTAACCTTGGAACAATGTATGATGAGGCTTAATTATTTTCATTAAGCCAATTCGGAATTTTCATTTGGTGCACATTATTGTGCCTTTGTGCAACTCCACATTCTGCCCATTAGTGGCATAATGTCATTGTGCCTGTTAGTGGCATAATGCACACATAATATTTCACTCTTAATTCCTCCATTATTTTTTGTGAACTTATGTTACATTTGTAATTTTTAAAGCCATTTATCTTCATTATTTACCACCCCATTATCTTTCTATTCATTGCTAGGAAGACTTTCTCAACTATAAAGAGTGGTTGTATTCATTTCATTTGGAACGCACAACATACAAGAGAAAATATAGAGTGAAAGGGTTAGTCAAAAAGAGAGTTCTTATTAGTTGAAGAGGGGTGTTCTTTTTTGTGGATCTTTGGACTCAACTCTTGTCCTGAGTTGTTGAGTAATATTTTGTGAAGGCTTTTGTATCCTGGAGGGAACAAGTCAAAGAGTACTACTGCTAGACCGGTTAAAAAATATTTGCTGCAGTGGACTTCAATCTCCTTAAATAGAGCGAGATATCCGCGTCTTAGCCTTGAAGAGATTTATTTTCTTCTTTTTTATTATCATTTGTAATCTTGTATTTTTTATTATCTGGTAAATTTTTCACTAACAATTTTAAGGAGATTCAAACATGACTACAATTAAAAAAATCGCGGATGTCAAAATGGGAGATCTTAACAAGCCATTTCGGTTCAATGGTAACCATTTCAAGAGATGGAAGGGTAAAATATTTTTCTACTTAAGTCTTCTCAATGTTTCTTATGTGTTAACGGAGAAGAATCCGAATAAAGAAGACATCACCTCTATGGATGATGATGAAACTATTTCTCATCTAGAGAAAGTGGAAAAGTACGATCGTGATTCCTACAAGTGTCAGTATCATATTCTTAATTGTCTGTCTGATAATTTTTATGATTATTATGATAAAACTTACTCTAGTGCAAAGAAAATTGGAAAAGCATTGCAGAGTAAGTATGATACCAAAGAGGCTGGACCAAAAAAATATGCGGCTAGTAATTTTTTCGTTTCCAAATGGTAGACAATAAAACAGTGGTAGATCAAGCTCAAGAGTTCATAATGATTATTGGAGAGCTTAGGTCCGAAGATGTTAAAATTGGAGATAACTTTATTGTTTGTGGCATTGTGGATAAACTTTCACTTTCTAGGAAGGAATTTCAAAAAATTATGGATGGTGGACTGATTCTGGTACAAACCGTCATGTCTGTTATGACAAAGACTGGTTTAAAAGATATGCTCATTTTGAGGAGCCCAAAACCATCATGTTTGGTGATGCTCACACTACTCAAGTGCTTGGGAAGGGAGATGTCAAATTGTGTTTTACTTCTGGAAGGGTATTAACTTAAAAAGATGTACTTTATACTCCTTCTATGAGAAAAAATTTAATGTCTAGTTTTCTTCTTAATAGAGCAGACTTTAATCAAATTATTGAATCTAATCAATATGTAGTAGTGAAGAAAGGTATTTTTGTGGTGAAGGGTATGCATGTGATGGGATGTTTAAGTTGAATGTTGAGACGAATAAAACTTCTACTTCTGTTTATATGCTTTCTTCTACCAATTTTCGGCATGCTCGTTTGTGTCATATTAATGATCATTATATTGGAACATGAGTAGTTTAAAATTAATCCCAATGGTTAAAATAAATTTTGAGAAGTGTGAGGCTTGTAGTAAAGCTAAAATCACTAAAAGACATCATTTTCAAGTTGAAGGAAAAACTGATTTGTTAGAATTAGTTCATACTGATATTTGTGAACTTGATGGAATTCTAATTCGTGAA